TCAATCAACCGAGCCTTGGCACTCTCAATGTCCTGCGAAGAAAACAATTATTTAATTATTTATTGCAAAAAGAAAAGAAAGGGAATGACAAAAAGGAAAGAAAAAATGAATGAGAAAACGGGTAAAATGCAGAAAAGCGGCACACCGCGCCGTAAGCACTCCCGGAAAAAGGCCTTCTCCTGAAACCGATGGTGAAATCTAGGTGCGTGTCTTAGTACGTGTATGATGGCAGGAAGGGGCCCCGGGTCGAAGCCCCCGGCAAATTCCCTTTCTCACCTCCTGCCTCAGCCTTCGCCTAAAAGCCTCGGTAACTCCCACACCCAACCCCTGTGACCCAACCCTCCAACAGCCGGCCATCCTCCCGCCGAAAGTCCCCCCCTCCCCCTCCCCCTCCCCCTCCCCCTCTCCTCCCCCCTTCTCCTCCCAGCCCCTCCCCCTCTCCTTCCCCCCTCCCTCTCCCCCTCCCCACACCCCCCCTCCCCCTCCCCCGCCCCACCCCACCGACACACAAACACACACAGGCAATCCTGCACACCCAGAGTACAACCCCATACCCCACATCACGTTCGCAAAAGCCCAAACATTCTCATATTCTCATGTTGCAACATCCTCTCGCGTGCCTTCTGGGCTTCGTCCGGCTCCTCCGTGACTTCCACCGTACTGAGCACCTGGAGACCCCCCACCCAACCCCCAACGGACTTTGGACGCCAGCGGCTCATTCTTCCGAGTTCCTCTCACAATACTATTCCCCCCAACGATCGCGTCTCAGTGCTGCCGCGGGAGGGACTGAGAGCCCCCCGGGTCGCCCTCCCAGCCCAGCCCAGCCCAGCCCTGGCTCCCGCCCAAAGTATCTCTCTATACATAACCCCCCTCGCTCCCCCGGAGCCCGAGTACCGCCCAAGAAGACGGAAAACCCCAACCTCCCAGCAAGGCAATGCAGAATCCTCATTAAAAATCTCCAAAAAACAAACCAGAGGAAGAAGGAAAGAACGAAGGAATGAAAGAAGGAAGAAGGAAAGGAAGAAGGAAAGGAAGGAAGAAATATCCGCAGCCGAACCACTGGAAACCGCCGAAAGACGGACCGGGAAAGACTCCGGGCCTCCCCCCCCACCACCACACACACATAGGTGCCACATGTGATCCCTTTCAGACCCCGTGCAGTACGCCGCCGCCCGCCGCCTCACCTGCAGCTCCAGCGCGCTGGTCCGTGTCGTGTACCTCAGGAACAGCTCGCAGCCGGCCTTGAGGGAAATGTTGGTGGGGTTCACCCTGCAGCAGCAGCAGCAGCACCACGTTGGTGCAGGTGGTAGGTAGATAGCAGTAGTAGCAGTTGCAGTAGCAGTAGTATGGTGCACCAGCCGCCTCTCTTGGGGAGTTGGAAGTGTGAGCCGAGTGTGCCATGTATGTATGTATGTATGTATGCATGCATGTATGTCGGCAGGATGCACGACGAGATCTCGACAGTGCATTTAGTAACGCTACCTGGAGGGCCGGTCCAGCCTTTCCCACCTAAAACGGCCCTTGCCCGGGGGCCACCCCCACAGCCCTCCTAACCCGACTCCTCGCAGGCTACTGCACTCCCCAAGCCCGGCCGCTAACACGACAATCCTCCCCGCTGGGCCCACCCTCGCGTAAAAAAACAACCCTTCGGCCCTCGGGCGCTTCCTTTCCCTGGTGCCGCAGTTGACCCTCGGCTTCTTGCATACGTTTCCTCCCCCTCCTCCTCTTCCTTCCCCCTTTTTCCCCCCTCCCCCCAGCCAATCGATCCCGCATGCAAGCCCCGGGAGTCAAGTTCCCACAGGTTCACCATCCCCCTCCACCATCTCCCTCCACCATCCCCCTCCCCCGGGGCACCACCATGCGCACCACCTCTCCACCCACCTCTGCAATGCTTGCGCGGCGTCCGCCAGCTCCTTGCTGACCCCCATCAGTGTTGTCGCGCTGCGGTTGGGGGATTGGTGCGGGGATTGGGAGTTTTGGGGGGAATGGGGGGAACAGAGAACGGAAAGACGGCCCAAAACGTTGTAAATAAATAGCCCGCTGAGACGGGTGAGGATTTTGAAGCCCGGTTCGCCTGTAGATGTGTAATGCCGAGCAACTGAGCACGTAGCTAACGTATACTGCTGGAATACGTGCAAGGAAAGAAGCCTGAGATGCATGACTCGCCGATCGGATGGCATTAGCTTGCCAAGGGGGCATTCGCAGGCGGGTGAAGATATCGGTTGACTGGAGGTTACCCTGACTGAGTTACCGCTCGTTTGTCATCCGTAGTTACTGGCTGACACCCTGTGCCTGCCTTCTCCGATGGCCGAAAACCAACCCCATACCCCAGGGGAAAGGAGGAGGTAGACTTGCCTGCTCCGCTTGATGACGGCCGTCAGGGCCATAATAGCTGCGACTGCAAACGCCACCTCCTCATCCCTACTCAGGGCGTCGTGAAACTCGCGCACGGCAATGTCATTGAGGGTGCCTGCGCGAGTGCCGCCGCGTTGTACGAGGAGCTGAGAAGCAGCAATGCCGGTAACATCCAAAGGTTTGTGATACCTTGCGTATTCGCCTCAAATCCTTCCGTCACAACAAGCTTTTGATGGCTTGGCCGCCGCTGCATCGTGGCCGTCCCGGCACCAACCCCCAAACAAAAAAAATATTAATGGATGAATTTAATAACAGATTACGGGTGTGATCGGAAAATGTTCATCGAGACAGCTGGAGCGCGCAGTCGCCAACAAGCAGGAGAGAGTGCATTAGTGCACGAATGGCATTCCTTCTCTATAACTTTTTTTACGTATAATCTTTCTTTGACGGTGTTTGCTTGTAGCACCCAAGGTTCTTAACCGCGCTCATCTGAAATGATGAACATTTTGTAAACCCTTTTCCGTATCCGTGGAAGAAAGCACCATTCCAGCTTTTCGAATAGAAGATTGCATTTAAAGGCGCATATCTTAGGGAATTCCCTTCCTCACCCGAAACTACCTTTCGCTGTCATGGCGTTTAAACCATAGACACAATTTGATTGGAGATGTCCGTGGGTTCAGTTTTGCCTCCTGTAAATGAGGCTATTAGCTTGCTGGACGTCAGCTTCGTTAATAACGAGTGGTCAGTTAGCGCGGAGTCAACGGGTCAGCAAAGCAAGCCCCACCTTAACGGAATGTTTGCTTACAGGCATGGAACACCAGCAACTTTACGGAGAAGCATTCAGATCTTGGTGGATCATATCTCTGTCCAGAGCGTGCAGCTAAGGTAAGCCAAATTCCGACGCATGTCTGGTCTCCTGCAAGGGTCGTTTCTTAACGGACCTACCACATATCCTACCCGGTGCAGCCGCGTCGAGGACATATTGAACGCCTTCGGAAACCCCAGTCAGCATGGCGGAACCGTGTGGAGCAAGGTACGTGGACTGGGTTACCCAACAGCTCAACCAACCAACAGCATCATCAAGCGCAGGGTGGAGCTTTCTAGACCTGCGCGCCTCGCGCCACGCAATTTACGTCCTAAACGGCCCCAAGAGCAGCCGCCTCTTTGGCAGCCAGACACGCATTTTTGTTGTAGCGTTGGCACCCACGGTACTATCTATCGCCTGTTTTTTTACATATCGCTAATAAGTTCCCTGCAACCTTGTGACGTCTTCCGTCCACTCTTCTTCCCTGAACGACGTAGCTCGCGGCGAAGGCCGACCTCAGCCGCCTGGAGAGGCTGGAAGCGCAGATGGACGGCCTGCTAAATGACTGCGCACAGATGCGGACCCATCAGGTAGGGGGATTAGTCACCAAGCCATCAAGCCTGGGTGGCAACCAGCCTGGGTGGGTGGCAACCAGGGGCCTTGTTCAGTGGCGCTGGGAGGTCCAAATCGTACCCGGGGACCCAAATCACAACAACAGGCCGCAACGCGCGTTTAGCCGCAAGCCTTTAAATCCTCAGCCGCCTCACCGGCTTGGATCGAGGGCTTGCTATGGACTGGGCCCGCTTGATCCAGTCGGGTGTCCAGCACCACCTGATGAACAGGAGCGCAACACAATGACCCCTTTGAAGCGCAACGTAACTCAAGGTGTAACACATACACACATACACAAACACGCACACATACACATACACAAACACGCACACATACACAAACACGCACACATACACAAACACGCACACATACACATACACAAACACGCACACATACACATACACAAACATGCACACATACACATACACAAACATGCACACATACACAAACACATACACATATACATACACAAACACGCACACATACACATACACATACACAAACACGCACACATACACATACACAAACACAAACACATACACATACACAAACACGCACACATACACATACACATACACAAACACGCACACATACACAAACACAAACACGCACACATACACATACACAAACATGCACACATACACAAACACATACACAAACACGCACACGCACACGCACACATACACATACACACACGCATTA